ACGCTATTTTTTGCTGCGTCATTCCAAAGCTCTTATACTTTCCACAGTCTCCTTAAAACATGCTTTGGTTAGAAAATTATCTCCACACAGTCTTAAATCCTCAGCTTAAGTCATTTAAACGGCATTTCTGACTTGTGACTTGTGGGGGGGGGGTTTCTTGGTTAATCACATAGAGAGAAGAAAGGAAAGTCCCCCCCCATCCAGTCCCGTTGCTGAACATACCGAGCCTTGGTGTGTCTTCTCATGATTTATTCCTGTTCCTCCGACCCGTCTTGTTTCTCAGAGATCTCTTCGGTTAGCAGTCTTTACTCCCCATTCTTCCTTGAAATATGTGCATCAGCTTCCTCCTAATTGTTTCTTTTGAAGTTGCTGCAGCTAGAGGCGCGAATCAGGAGCGTCCAGGAGCGCCGAAGTCCACACAAGGGCTTTTTGCCTAGTGCCCCCACCCCCTCAAATTCGGGGGTGGTATAGGGCACAGCAGGCAAGGGCAGTCCCCCCCACCCACTTGGGGGGGCTGGGAGGCTGTTTACTCCCATCACAGCCTCTTAATTACCTCGTGTGGGTCGGAGAGATGTTATTGTCAGCCATCTTCCGATGCGCCCCTAGTGGCCCCCCAATCAATCCTCTATTCTAGAATCATTGCATCTTAGCTTAATGAACACAATCAGTACTTATCCAAAGATTTCCATTGAAGTTATATTGTGCAATATATTCTTCAACACACTTCCATTCCTTTCTTAATTCTTGTTTTGATTGCATTCTAATTGACGCTGTCATCTTGGCTAGTTCAATATATTCACATAATTTAATTTACCACTCTGACATTGAGGGAGTCTCCTTGCTTTTCCAATTTTTGGCCACGAGTACTGTTGTGGCCGCTGTTGCGTGTAAAAAGACTCTGACCTTGTCTTTAGGGATATCATCTGAGACGACCAAGAAGAAACACTTCAGGTCTTTTTTTGGATGCATCTCCAACAAAAATCTGTGGGTAGTTTATAATTTTTTGCCAATTTGATCGGGGTCATATACCACCTATAGCACATCTTCATGATGTTTTCTTTAATGACGATGCACACAGTAAAATTTATATCATTTTTCCATAACCTTTCCCATCTCTTAAACCAAATTGCATATACCAAATCTTGTCCCCATTTTATCATAAATTCCTTGGTTTGCTCATCTTTTAGTTCCCACTCAAGGAGCAGATTATACATTTTTGAGAGATTTTTCTTTGGGTTTTGTATGATTTCTAATTGGAATTTAGATTCCTCCTTCAAAAAAGCAATTGTCTTGTCACAAACAAATTTATCATTTCGTTGGTAATACTGGACCCAGCTGGTACAATATACTTTTAGTTCTTCATATGATTTGAGTTTTAACTGTCCTCCTCCTTTTTTATCAGTTGTCTATATGTGGTTCTAATTTTGCCCATGTTTTTCTTTTTAATTGAAAGTATTTCAAAAGGGGCCGCCCACCAAGGGGTTTTAGGTTCCAAAAGCATATGATGTTTCCTCCAGACTTTAATTAGTGGATTCCTGATAATATGGTTCATAAAACCCTGATGTACTTTTGTCTTATTGTCCAATAAAGAGCCATGCCATCCATATCTTAAATCATGCCCCTCTAGGTCCAGTATGTCAGTGTTCTCAAGCCAAATCCACTCCTTGACCCAACAGAGGCAGGAGGCTTCGTAGTAGATTTTTTAATCAGGAAGACCAACCCCGCCCCATTCTCTCCTATCTGTAAGAAGTTTGAATTTTATGTGAGTCCTTTTACCCTGCCATATAAAATTTGATAATATCCTTCTCCACTTTTCAAAACAGTCCATCTTATTAATTATAGGGATCATTTGGAAGAGAAATAAAAGTTTTGGAAGTATATTCATTTTGATTGCTGCTATTCTCCCCCAAAGAGATAATTTTAGTCTATGCCAGATTCCCAGATCATTTCTTACTTGATTCCATAATTTAGTATAATTGTCTTTAAATACATTTACATTTTTCATTGTAATTTGTATGCCTAGGTACCTGATTTTATTCACAATTTGTAATCCCACCTTTTCTTGCAGTTCTCTTTTTTCCTTTTAATCCATATTTTTAACCATTCATTTTGTCTTTGTCATATTTAATTTAAAGCCAGAGACTTTCCCATAGCTCTCCATTAATTCTAAAAGTTTTTAAATGCTCTCGTTTGGATTTTTGAGTGTCAGGAGTAGGTCATCAGCAAATGCACATAGTTTATAAGATTTATGTTCCAAAACAATCCCCTTTATGCTCTCATCTAGTCTTATATCTTGATTCAATATTTCTAGGGTTAAAATAAACAAGAGCGGTGAAAGTGGGCACCCTTGCCTTGCACCCCTTTCAATCTTGAAGGTCTCTGACATTTCCGAGTTAATTATCAGATTTGCCTTTTGAGATTCATAGATAGCTGTTATCCCTCTAATAAATCTTTCCCCCATCATATTCTTCTCTAGATTTTTCTTTAAAAATTCCCACGATACATTATCAAACTCTTTTTCTGCATCAATAAACATAAAAGTGGCTTTCTTCCCTGGGTGCATATCCAGATATTCTGATAGGTCAACCACTATTCTCATATTTGTACTCATTTTCCTCCCTGGCAAAAAACCCGCTTGATCTTGACTTATTATTTCATTTAACACAGTTTTTAATCTATTTGCCAATATATCCTCATAAATTTTGTAATCTGAATTTAGCAATGAAATGAGTCTATAATTTTCAATCATTTCTCTCTTTGTACCTTCTTTTGGTAATAGGACTATGTGAGCTTCCCTCCACGAGTCCGGTAAATTCCCTTCTTCCATTATCTTATTTAAAAGTAATTTTAATGGAGTCGAAAGCACCTCCTTTAACCTTTTATAGTGGATTGTGGGGAGACCATCCGTACCAGGGGCTTTACCATATTTACTCCTTGAGATAGCATATTCCACTTCCATCATGGTAACAGGGGAGTTTAACAGTTTTTTTCCCCCATCAGATATTCTGGGTAAGGGTCTGCTTTGTAAATACTCTACTATTTCCTCGACTTTCTCCTTACCCTTTTCATATAATTTAGTGTAATATTTTACAAACCTTTTGATGATTTCTTCCGTTTTAACTATGATCGTTCACTACTCTATTAATAGTTCTTTCTGCCTTTTCTTCAATTGCCAAGCCAATAACTTTCTGGTTTTATTTGCTGATTCAAAATATCTGTTTCATCCATCTTAAGTTGTTTTCTATCTCCTGGTTTAATAACACTGATAATTGATTTTGTAATAAATTGCAATTTTTCCTTGCCTTCTCAATTTTAGGTTGTTTAGCTAATACTTTTTCATTTTCTTGAATTTCTATTTTAATTTCCTCCATCTTTGATTCCCTATTTTTTTTTTGGGATTGCATGCTGCTGAATGTAAAAACCTCTTATAAATGCTTTACTCACATCCCATATTACCCTAATATCTGTATTCTGCACCTTGTTATTTTGGAAAAATTCCGTACGTAGTTCTTGTGCTTTAGCTAATTTTTTTTCATCATTTAGGATTTTTTCATTCATTTCCCATCTTTTAATTACCCTTCTTCTACTTCTTAATTCTACTGTAACCAGATTATGGTCAGGGTTTTTTTATATGAATTTTATTAGTATTTTCCACACAACAACAACAACACGAAAGCTATCAAAAAATAACAATACACAACACAGAGAAATCAACATTCGAAAACTAAAAATAAAATAAAATAAAAACAAAACAAAAACAAAACAAAACAAAACAAAAAAACCAAACAAATCCATATCTTACAAGTTAATATTATAAACACTAAAACAACAACAAGACATTGACTTCCACCAATCCCACAGCACCTTTATCTCTCATTGTGTCTTCCTGTTTTCCTGTTTTCTTTATCTACTCTATTCTAACATCTAGATTTAAAACCTTCTTTCATATCCTTTCACTTCACAAGGTTATTCCAGACTCAGCCAGATTTCTGCCCTCGAACCTTGACTTTTGAGGTATTCATTTAGGCACTCCCATTCTTTTTTTACTTCACTTTTTGGTTTTTGTCTTATTATATCTGTCAATTTGGCTAATTCTAAGTATTCTGAGAGCTTACATAGTCACTCTTCCCTAGTGGGTAACTGATTCCCTTTCCAGTACTTAGCCACCAGGATTCTTGCTGCAGACGTTGCGTATAAGAAAAAATTAGTTTTGTCTTTTGGGATATCATCATTTTAAATTCCTAAAAGGAATGCCTCTGGCCTTTTACTATATGATATTCTTAATATTTTCTTTATTTCTTCGTGGATCATGTTCCAAAATTTCCCAATTTCGGGGCATGTCCACCACATATGGTAGAAGGTTCCTTTTTGTATCTTGCATCTCCAGCACTTATTATTATATGTTTTATTCATTTTTGCAAGCCTTTCTGGTGCCAGGTACCACCTGTGATACATTTTCATATAGTTGTGGTTCGAGGACCCGACCCCCGCGATGTGAAATAAATACACAAGGACACGTGATATAAGGTTAATGGGCAAGAAAAGGCCACAACTTTATTGATTACAGCAGTGAAAAGGTATTGGCTTAGGCACTGGATGTCTAAAACAAGTGGGTTTATTCACCAGTAGGTGGAGCCTGTTGATGCTAATCCAACTATAGGCTCTCCCCTGATGTCACCGGGGGTCGTGCCATGGCCTCCCGCCAAGCAGGCATCGGACAGAACACACGACCGCCAGATTCCTTTAACGGAATACCCAAAAATTGAAGGCATGGGCGATGGCCAGACCCAGCCCTTCGACACACCACAACACATTATTCCAATGCCTAACCGCCACCCGAGCCAATAAGGCTCGCCGCCAATACCCTCACGGCTGTAACCAATCCCTAATGCTTCTGATGACACTATCTAGCCAAATGTCGTTCCCCTGGTCAGAGGGAAGCACCCCGTCATTCCGGTATAAGGCCCGGTTGCCGATCCGGATTTGGTCATGATAAATGACTCGGCCATTCATGAAGCGCACCCAACGGGCCACTGCCCGATTTACGAGTTTCCTGGTTTTTTCAATGGCCATACAGCTCAGCGCAGCACGCCAAAAAATTCTCTTCAGGAAGGAGGACCAGAACACCGTTGTTCTGGGGCACAAGGCAGCAAACGCATCCAAGTCTCTTTTTATATTCCACAACAAGTCCGCACTCCTTCTGTAAGCAAGGTCATTTTCCCTAATTGAATGACAAGGATGCCGGGAGGGCCGAACGTGGCGACTTTTTCCCACAGCAATGGCATAAGCTCTTCCCAGCGCCTGCCTCTTCTCGAGAACCAGGAAACTCGAACACCGTGTGGCAGACCAAGATTAGGCGCAAGGCCGCAGCTGACCGCCCATACGCAGGCCCAATGGACTATACCGTGGCCGCAAATCCGCACGCTTCTCCTGATCACAGCTGAGGATGAAAGGACAGAAAAGGAGGTAAGTAGGGGTAATATAGCAGAGCGCATTCTAGCGAATATAACTTTTATAAGCATTGGATTTCCACCGGCCCATTTCTTTAATCCTATCCGCTGGCAGACCCAAGAGCACCGCTGTTGTGGTGGCGCCAATCCTGAATGAGTGTGCAGCATAATCCTGGGAAGATAAACCACAGGCATCAATAGCTTTGCGGAGTACCCTTGTGAATTGGTGTCTCAACAAAGGTGACCCATCCTCGTGAACCAGGAGCAGGCCAGAACCAGGCAGTCTGAGGTTGCATTAACCTCGGCTACTACTTCACCGACCCTCAAGGCGCCAAAAGGTGATCGCATATGCAGCGGGGGGGGGGGGGGGAGGCGGGCCTCAAACTTGGTCCAGCTGATTGACCTAAACTTTGTGCATATCTGAGAGAGCAGCCCGTAAGGAATTGGCTTAGCATATGCTGCGGAAAAGAGCTGGGCCTCAAACTTGGTCCAACAGATCAACTTAAGCTTTATGCGTATTTGAGAGAGCAGCCTGTAAGAAAATGGCTTATGGCCCTCGGCTCTAGGGGGTTGCAGCTACCCCAACCTTCAATAGCTCTGCGGATCAGGAAGTCACTGCACGGGTCGGAGGAAAACATGGCTTTACAAAGAAGCTGATGGCGGCTACGTGTATCTTTGACGTTTTGGAGGCCCGGCCTAAAGGAGGCTATAACGTATGCTGCAGAGAACACCCGGGCCTCGAACTTGGACCAGCAAATTGACCTAAGTTTCATACGGATTTGGGACAGCAGCTTGTAAGAAATAGGCTTGCGGCCTTTGTTACTTGAAGGCTGCAGTCAACTGCAACCTTCGATTGCCCTGCGGACCATAAAGTCACAGCACGAATCGGTGAAAAAACATGGGTCTACTAAAGAATGTGATAGCGGCTATGTGTATCCTCAAAGTTTTCGAGGCTCAACCTAGGCCATGAAGGTGTGTTAAGTATTGCAGAACGTTTTCTGTGGAGGGTGTAACATTGGTGGAAAGGGAGGATACTTTGGACCTGAACCCCATGAAATCACACCAGACCTTCTTATATGATCTAAGCGTAGAGGGTGCGACAGATGCTAATACTCCCTTAATCACTTCACGTCTCCAAGGTTCCACAGGTGCTCCGGAACGGGTTCTGGCAGTGGCTGAGCCCTGGGAGCTAATGCTCGGAAGCGAGGCACTGGAGGACGAATGATTGGAGTAGGCGCGACACCCTCACGGAACGCGATGACTGTTTAGCCAGTATGTTGACCACTGCCTGGTTATCAGTTCTGAAGCACACCCGGCGATTCTGGAACTCCTCAGTCCAAATGTGAACAGCCACAACTAAGGGGGAAAAAACTCCAGAAAAGTGAGATCCCACGTGATAGCCTCGCCTTGCTCCTCTGCTGGCCATTGTTGAGCACGCCAGGTTCCCCTAAAGAATAAACTGAAGCCCAAGGACCCAGCGGCATCAGTGAACCTGGAAATCTGAGGACAGGTTGAGGATTTCTTGCCATAAGGAGACTCCATTGTAGCGTTCTAGAAACGTGATCCAGATCTCAAGGTCTGTCTTAACCGATTTTGGGAGTCTTACCCTGTGGTGCGGTTTGTTTGTTTGTTTGTTTTTGTTATTTTATTTTATTTTTAAGGTTAGGTATGCACATAGGCCCCAAGACTCATTTGTATCATGACTTTTAAACTTCTGATTTGTTTCTGAGTCACTTGGTGCTCTCTGTGCTGAATCTGAAGGGGCTGGCACACAGACTAACTGAATGTGGATGTTCATTATGCACTGTATCATAGTATAGTACAGTGATTATAAAAATATCTGCTTGAGTATACATTTTCATCATGTGTAAAACTCTTAAGGAATAAACAAATAGAGACTCTCCTCCCTGGAAGAGAGGGGAGTGGTTGTGGGCGGGAGCCCGAGCACCGCCCCTAGCAGGGGGCGGTTGCCCCCTGCCTCCACCTCACCTGGCTGGCGCCCACGCCCCCTCTGCAGGCATCCAACCAGGGGCCTCGGAGGGGCGTGTTCAGCAGCCTTATGCTGCGGTGCCAGCCTCTCCCTGGCCTCATTCTTCGCCGTCGTCTCGTCGCGAGTCATCACAGTCATCACAGGGAAGAGCCACGAGGTTTGGAGTCGGGGGAGGGGCTGTGTGTGTGGAGGCTGCCTGGTTCCTGGCTTGCCTTTTAACTTTAGGAGGCTTGCGTGCACTCATTGCTTTACTGCTTTTAAAAACCCAGGCATCCAGGTTTGCCTTGCTGTGACCTCTTTTCCGTTTAAAAACCTACATTTAACCTTCTTTTCCCCCCCACTCCTGGTGCTTGATTTGTTTGTGCGGTCTGAGTGCGAATTACCTTTCTTAAGCTGCAGCTTGTTCCCTTGCCCAGCAAGTGCCCCTAGCGAGGTCTGAGTGTGAGTGTGGCTCTGTCTTTCTTTCTCCCTCGTCTCCTCGCTTTCCTTCCCCTGCCTCTGCCTTGGTGGTGTGCGTTTTTATTTAATTTTTGGCCAGGGTGCTTGTACGTTTTCCCTCTATTGCCCTGGCCTGTCCAATTGCATGGCTGGTCTGGGTGACTGAGTGGGTTTGGCTTACATTTTAATTTGTTGGCCAGGGTGCTGCTGCGTTTTCCTCCTCCATTGTCCTTGGGAGCCTGGATAGCTCAGTTGGTTAGAGCATGGTGCTATTAATGCCAAGGTTGCAAGTTCGATCACTGTATGGGACAGCTGAATATTTCTGCATTGCTTGGGTTGGACTAGATGATCCTCAGGGTTCCCTTTCCTGTTCCTCTCTAATTTTAAGTCGTGTGTGTGTGCTTGCAGCGTGTGTTTGTGCCTGCTGTTTATTGTGCCTGCCGTTTATTGATTTATTACTCTTCTAGCATGGGTTTGATTTACCCTGCAATCCCTTCCATTGGTACCACTTAAATCGGGAGACCCCTGAAAAATTTTAAAGGCTGCCGGGGCTTGGAATAGACTGTGCGCTTAAACCTCACCATCTTGGTTTCTCTAAGCCAACCCCCCCCCCTTCGCTTGATGTTTGGGGGAAGAAATAAGGCAGGGCTTGGGGTGGACAATTCAGGGTTTCTGATCAGGGAACCATTCCTCAGCACTGCACGTTTATACGTTTAGAACCTTTGAAGGTGTGCCTTTGCCTGGTTCTTGTCATTGGCTTCACTTGCCAGTACAGGCTCCCTAAAGAAAACCACTTTTAAACAACAACAACAAAAAGGTTTTGGCTTATAGTACCTTACTGAAAAGTCCAGGTTAACCCACGGTTTATATTTCCACTTCATTTTGGCTCACTGTAAAGGACAGCTATTTTCCTTTTCTTCAAAAACTTCCTTGCCCGGCATGTTCATTTTACTCCCCCCACCCCTCCTCCCTCCCAACTCCCCCACGCTTCCTTCTCCTCCCCCACCCGTCCTCCCTCCCTCCACCCCCCCACCCTTTCAGGAGATACATTGGTCTTTGGAGTTCCCATTGCTTCTTGCCTGAGGCATCACAGTTACCAGACAGGTTTCTCAACTGCTGGGTTGAGAGCTTGATTGCTCTCTGAGTGACCGGCAGTTTGTGAGGCATTGTCTTTAAGCACCTGGCGGTTCAGCAGCTCTAGTTGCATTGTCAGTTTAACTAACCAGCAGTTTGACCAATTGCAGTCTTTTGTCTGTTTAAGCACCCTTATTTCAATCAACTGGTATTGAGCCGACCTTGTGGGCAAAGATTTACTTTTCTTTGTTTGGCAAAGTTTCCTTTGTTTGGTAGAGATATTCCCCTTAAGAGCAATCTCACCCCTCCTTTTCAGAGGGCCGCTGGTGTGGGCCTGGAATCTTATTGATTTCCTTTTCTCTTAATTTGGCTGCAGCTTCTGAGCATCTCCTTGTAAGCAGTTATTTTCAATTCTGTTTGATTACTTGGCAATGCTTTGTGCCTAGATTTGCCGAGCATTTAAAAGGGGCAACTTTTATTGTAGGCAATTATCTTCTAATTCTGTCTGACTGCAGTTGGGGTTGCTTTGTGTATGGGATTGTTCCTTGGAGCCAGGTGCTAATATGTAGCTGAGCGCTGCTGCTTGAACTCTTGCTGGGTTGTGATTTAATAAATATAAATAAATACAAGCGGTGCAGTTAAGTGACGTATAGCTTGTTCATTTTGTCAGCAGTTACGCAGAGCAATTGATAATAGTAATTCCTACTCATAGCTATAAATCCATTGGCTATTAATTGAGATACTATCGATTAATAATTAATTCATCAACAGTGCTCCGAACTTTATTGATGCACAATAATTGTATACTAGCATTTAATTACAGTCAAGTTATTAATTGATTGGTGATATTAATACTAATTAAAAAATAACAACAACAATAATAAAATAAAATAATAAAATAAAATAAATTTGAAAAATAAATAAATAATAATTAATAATAATAATAATAAATAATTATAATTATAAATAATAATAATAATAATAAATATTTAAAATATAAATAAATAAATAAATGAAAATTAAATTTAGAAATAATAATAATTAGTGACGAAATAAATAGTAGGCGCATTTTACTAGTGCACAGAGCAGCTCATGGCGCCCAAGAGGAAGTGCACGGGTGCAGTACCAGCACACACCGCAGCTGTCAACCGTCGTAATAAAAAACCCAAACCCATTTCGCAGTTCCTCAGTGCCTTCAGATCATTCATTGTTGACTATGAACAGCGCTTTCTCTTAGCTATTCTTTAGTTCTATTTGCCTTGCGTTTCTTTCTTCCTTGATTTGCAAACCAGTGGCCAGCCTTTAAACTACCCAGGTGCAGGCCCAAGCCCTCAGACAGGAACGGCGGCTGTGCAAACTAGGTCTCAGGCTTGCTCGCCGACTTTCAGAACCGCACCAGGGCGCCTGCGTGGAGGCTGCCGGCCCATATCAATAACCCGGTTGCTTCCAGTTCTTCTAGTTCTTTGCAGAATAGGCAGCCCAGGGTCCAGCTTCCAGAAGCAGGCACCTCATCAGCCGGTGATGATGAGTCAGAATGGCTTAAGCCCTTTCTGGGGAGGCCGCCGCTATTAGCATCTGGCAGTTAGCCCGTATGTCGAGAAGAAGCCATCAGAGGTGTATCGCACTGGAAAGCTGGGCCTTAGAAAGGATTTAAAACATCAACTACAAGAGCAAGACCACAGCTTTAACAAAATGACAGCCCAAACAGGAAGACAAATGGGAGCAATGGTACTGCTTTGAAGTGTTCCAGATCCATTTCCTGTTCTCCCAATGAGCAGGGCAGCTGTGGGCAAAATTGCAAAGAACTATAATAATGATTTAGTCCTTAGTCCTATAATCTAGTAAGCCTTTAAGCCCAACAGTCGAAATCGCATAATTTCAATGCTTTAACTATATTAGGGAACATGTATAGTTAGTAAACAAATTGCTAGTTTGGTGAGAAATAACACTTCACTGAAGTGGATAACGCTTTGGCTAAGAGCTCACCTTTGGCAATCTTCTAGAACATGTTGCATATGTAGCAGTTCTTTCTAGCTAGAGTGAAACTGAAACCTGACATTTACAGTACCAGATAGAAGTGTTCTGGAATGTCCTGGCTGTGTCTGGAATGTCCTGGCTGTGTCTGTAGTAGAACAGTTTTGGAAATCTATAGGAGAGCATCCCACCAATCTCTTGTCATACTAACAATCGTGTTATCAACTAACAATCAAAAGTGCAAAAATTTTAGCTACATGGGCAACAGGATGTTGGCTAGAAGCAACTGGTTTTCTGAAGCTAAAACTTACAATTTTGTTCTAGGAGTTACTTGATCACAATATAGAACTATTTGTTTATTCCTTAAGAGTTTTACACATGATGAAAACGTATACTCAGGCAGATAATTTTATAATCACTGTACTATACTATGATACAGTGCATAATGAACATCCACATTCAGTTAGTCTGTGTGCCAGCCCCCTTCAGATTCAGCACAGAGAGCACCAAGTGACTCAGAAACAAATCAGAAGTTTAAAAGTCATGATACAAAACGAGTCTTGGGGCCTATGTGCATACCTAACCTTAAAAATAAAATAAAATAACAAAAACAAACAAACAAACCGCACCACAGGGTAAGACTCCCAAAATCGGTTAAGACAGACCTTGAGATCTGGATCACGTTTCTGGAACGCTACAATGGAGTCTCCTTATGGCAGGAAATCCTCAACCTGTCCTCAGATTTCCAGGTTCACTGATGCCGCTGGGTCCTTGGGCTTCAGTTTATTCTTTAGGGGACGCTGGTGTGCTCAGCAATGGCCAGCAGAGGAGCAAGGCGAGGCTATCACGTGGGATCTCACTTTTCTGGAGTTTTCCCCCCCTTAGTTGTGGCTGTTCACATTTGGACTGAGGAGTTCCAGAATCGCCGGGTGTGCTTCAGAACTGATAACCAGGCAGTGGTCAACATACTGGCTAAACAGTCATCGCGTTCCGTGAGGGTGTCGCGCCTACTCCAATCATTCGTCCTCCAGTGCCTCGCTTCCGAGCATTAGCTCCCAGGGCTCAGCCACTGCCAGAACCCGTTCCGGAGCACCTGTGGAACCTTGGAGACGTGAAGTGATTAAGGGAGTATTAGCATCTGTCGCACCCTCTACGCTTAGATCATATAAGAAGGTCTGGTGTGATTTCATGGGGTTCAGGTCCAAAGTATCTTCCCTTTCCACCAATGTTACACCCTCCACAGAAAACGTTCTGCAATACTTAGCACACCTTCATGGCCTAGGTTGAGCCTCGAAAACTTTGAGGATACACATAGCCGCTATCACATTCTTTAGTAGACCCATGTTTTTCCACCGATTCGTGCTGTGACTTTATGGTCCGCAGGGCAATTGAAGGTTGCAGGTGACTGCAGCCTCCAAGTAACAAAGGCCGCAAGCCTATTTCTTCAAGCTGCTGTCCCAAATCCATATGAAACTTAGGTCAATTTGCTGGTCCAAGTTCGAGGCCCGGGTGTTCTCTGCGGCATACGTTATAGCCTCCTTTAGGCCGGGCCCCCAAAACGTTAAATATACACGTAGCCGCCATCAGCTTCTTTGTAAAGCCATGTTTTCCTCCGACCCGTGCAGTGACTTCCTGATCCGCAGAGCTATTGAAGGTTGGGGTAAGCTGCAACCCCATAGAGCTGAGGGCCATAAGCCATTTTTCTTACAGGCTGCTCTCTCAAATACGCATAAAGCTTAAGTCGATCTGTTAGACCAAGTTTGAGGCCCACCTCTTTTCCGCAGCATATGCTAAGCCAATTCCTTACGGGCTGCTCTCTCAGATATGCACAAAGTTTAGGTCAATCTGCTGGACCAGGTTTGAGGCCTGCCTTTTTCCCCCCCGCTGCATATGCGATCACCTTTTGACGCCTTGAGGGTCGGTGAAGTAGTAGCCGAGGTTAATGCAACTGGGTCAACGCGCGGCCTCCTCACGGAGGACTTGCAGTTGTCCGAAGCTAGCACGACGGTGTGGATACATCAATCCAAAACGAATCAGGCAGGTAGGGGTTCCCTTGTAAAACTTACAGCTTCAGCGCAGCGGGGCCCATGTCCGGTCAAGGACACTAGATGGTACCTGTCAAGGCTGCCTCAGGTCCCAGCTCACAAAAGACCAACGCCAATCTCTTCTTATATACAAAAGTGTTTATTGCAGTTCATTATTTGCTTCATATCCGAGGCGCGCAGCCCCACGTCTGTACGCTTAGACCGTTGAAGTCCCCTCTGAGTCAGTCCCTCCCCTGCACCAGTTTAAGAGCCTTGCGCTGCTCCACCTCTTTCTCTCTTTCCTTTTCCTCAGGGTCTTCCTGCCCGCTGGGGTTTCGCCCCTCCGGATTCCCCGGACGCGCTATCCCCCTACTGCCCTTCCCCCCTCCGGGGGGTTTTTGGACCTGGCCCTTCCCCCGGGCTCCCTGTAGTGCCGCGCGCCTCTAAATTTGAACTTGGCGCGCGCTCCCAACCTCTAACTTTCCTTTGACAGTTACACTACTCCCTTCACTACTCCCTCCCCTTCCGGGAGGGTGGCTGCTCCGACCTCCCTCCCTTCTCTGCTGCCGGAGCTGCTTCCCTGATACACTGGAACCTCCACCCCCTTCGCTGCACTCTGGCGGGAGGCTGGTCCTGACGCCCAGCTGCCACTTTGGGATCCCCGCTGGCCCCCTGTTCCTGACACGTCCCCCTGGGGCTCCCTGGCCTTGACCACTGGCGCCCACTTCTGGGAATCCTCTGATTCGCTGGAAAGACTCATGGAATCTCTTGAGTCATTGTCATCCTCTTCCTCGCTGTCCTGGGATTCATCCCCATCGCTCTCCATCTCCTCCCTACCCTGTGCCTCTGTCCCTGAACCCCTGACAGTACCTTTACCTCAGACTGCCTGGTTCTGGCCTGCTCCTGGTTCACGAGGATGGGTCACCTTTGTTGAGACACCAATCCACAAGGGTACTCCGCAAAGCTATTGATGCCTGTGGTTTATCTTCCCAGGATTATGCTGCACACTCATTCAGGATTGACGCCACCACAACAGCGGTGCTCTTGGGTCTGCCAGTGGATAGGATTAAAGAAATGGGCCGGTGGAAATCCAATGCTTATAAAAGTTATATTCGCTAGAATGCGCTCTGCTATATTACCCCTACTTACCTCCTTTTCTGTCCTTTCATCCTCAGCTGTGATCAGGAGAAGCGTGTGGATTTGCGGCAACAGTATAGTCCATTGGGCCTGCGTATGGGCGGTCAGCTGCGGCCTTGCGCCTAATCTTGGTCTGCCACACGGTGTTCGAGTTTCCTGGTTCTCGAGAAGAGGCAGGCGCTGGGAAGAGCTTATGCCATTGCTGTGGGAAAAGTCGCCACGTTCGGCCCTCCCGGCATCCTTGTCATTCATTAGGGGAAAATGACCTTGCTTACAGAAGGAGTGCGGACTTGTTGTGGAATATAAAAAGAGACTTGGATGCGTTTGCTGCCTTGTGCCCCAGAACAACGGTGTTCTGGTCCTCCTTCCTGAAGAGAATTTTTTGGCGCGGTGCGCTGAGCTGTATGGCCATTGAAAAAACCAGGAAACTCGTAAATCGGGCAGTGGCCCGTTGGGTGCGCTTCATGAATGGCCGAGTCATTATTCATGACCAAATCCGGATCAGCGACTGGGCCTTATACCGGAATGACAGGGTGCTTCCCTCTGACCGGAATGACAGGGTGCTTCCTTCTGACCAGGGGAACAACATTTGGCTAGATAGTGTCATCAGCGGCATTAGGGATTGGTTACAGCCGTGAGGGTATTGGCGGCGAGCCTTATTGGCTCGGGTGGCGGTTAGGCATTGGAATAATGTGTTGTGGTGTGTCGAAGGGCTAGGTGTGGCCATCGCCTATGCCTTCAATTTTTGGGTATTCCGTTAAAGGAATCTGGCGGTCGTGTGTTCTGTCCGATGCCTGCTTGGCGGGAGGCCATGGCACGACCCTCGGTGACATCAGGGGAGCCTATAGTTGGATTAGCATCAACAGGCTCCACCTACTGGTGAATAAACCCACGTGTTTTAGAGATCCAATGCCTAAGCCAATACCTTTTCACTGCTGTAATCAATAAAGTTGTGGCCTTTCCATGCCCATTAACCTTATATCACGTGTCCTTGTGTATTCATTTCACATCGCGGGGGTCGGGTCCTCGAACCACAATTCTATATTGTGATCAAGTAACTCCTACAACAAAATTGTAAGTTTTAGCTTCAGAAAACCAGTTGCTTCTAGCCAACATCCTGTTGCCAATGTAGCTAAAATTTTTGCACTTTGATTGTTAGTTGATAACACGATTGTTAGTATGACAAGAGATTGGTGGGATGCTCTCCTACAGATTTCCAAAACTGTTGTACTACAGACACAGCCAGGACATTCCAGACACAGCCAGGACATTCCAGAACACTTCTATCTGGTACTGTAAATGTCAGGTTTCAGTTTCACTCTAGCTAGAAAGAACTGCTACATATGCAACATGTTCTAGAAGACTGCCAAAGGTGAGCTCTTGGCCTAAGCGTTATCCACTTCAGTGAAGTGTTATTTCTCACCAAACTAGCAATTTGTTTACTAACTATACATGTTCCCTAATATAGTTAAAGCATTGAAATTATGTGATTTCAACTGTTGGGCTTAAAGGCTTACTAGATTATAAGACTAAGGACTGAATCATTATTGTAGTTCTTTGCAATTATGCCCACAGCTGCCCTGCTCATTGGGAGAACAGGAAATGGATCTGGAACACTTCAAAGCAGTACCATTGCTCCCATGTGTCTTCCTGTTTGGGCTGTCATTTTGTTAAAGCTGTGGTCTTGCTCTTGTAGTTGATCTGGGAGAAAAAGGCAGGTTCCCCGCGGGGGGGGGGGGGGATAAATAAATAAATAAATAAAAATAATTCCTGTATGAGGTGTTATGGAATGATACATTTGGTTGCCTAATAATCTCAAAAGGGGGGTAGGTTTGGGAAGGGGTGCCTCTGTCGTGGAGACCAAGCAGGGGCTAAGTGGTGGCCCTGTTGGGTTCATCCCAATTAGCTGTATGCCATAGTGTGACTCAAGAGGCGGAGCTAGCTGCTCTGGCACCCGGAGTGGCACACATAGTGTGCACCCAGGGGTGGGGCTAGCTACCCGTTGGGTGAGGCGAGCGTCCTTTCCCTTACTGACTTCTGATTAGGAGAGTCCTTCGCGGTTAAGGAGCCAACTACTGGGATTCTGAAACCCTCTGAGAAACCCTTCCAAAGATAGGATGCTGCACTTCCGTCCGGATGGATAGACAAGAGGTTGAGGAGAGGAGAAAGCTGAATTGGAGAAAATGCTAGACCCAGAAGGACTTTATCGATGGTTCGCTGCTGCGGGGGCTCGTCTAGAACTAGAGTGGTGGAAGCCCCGACCTCCCCAAAAGGGCCGCTTCCCTTTGTAACACGCTGTGGCTGGGTGAGCCCCTGCACATCTCTCACACTCATGCGGGTACTTACAAGACTGCCTTTGGCATTGCCCTTTATTGAATTACCAGCACACCTTACGTTTTAAATCCTTTCTAAGGCCCAGCTTTCCAGTGCGATACACCTCTGATGGCTTCTTCTCGACATACGGGCTAACTGCCAGATGCTAATAGCGGCGGCCTCCCCAGAAAGGGCGTAAGCCATTCTGACTCATCATCACCGGCTGATGAGGTGCCTGATTCTGGAAGCTGGACCCTGGGCTGCTTATTCTGCAAAGAACTAGAAGAACTGGAAGCAACCGGGTTATTGATATGGGCCGGCAGCCTCCACGCAGGCGCCCTGGTGCGGTTCTGAAAGTCGGCGAGCAAGCCTGAGACCTAGTTTGCACAGCCGCCGTTCCTGTCTGAGGGCTTGGGCCTGCACCTGGGTAGTTTAAAGGCTGGCCACTGGTTTGCGAAACAAGGAAGTAAGAAACGCAAGGCAAATAGAACTAAAGAATAGCTAAGAGAAAGCGCTGTTCATAGTCAACAATGAATGATCTGAAGGCATTGAGGAACTGCGAAATGGGTTTGGGTTTATTATTACGACGGTTGACAGCTGCAGTGTGTGCTGGTACTGCACCCGTGCGCTTCCTCTTGGGCGCCATGAGCTGCTCTGTGCACTAGTAAAATGTGCCTACTATTTATTTCGTCACTAATTATTATTATTATTTTTTAAATTTAATTTTCATTTATTTATTTATTTATTTATTTATATTTTGCATATTAATTATTATTATTATTATTTTATTTTTATTATTTATAATTATAATTATTTATTATTATTATTAATTATTATTTATTTATTTTTCAAATTTATTTTATTTTATTATTTTATTTTATTATTGTTGTTGTTATTTTTTAATTAGTATTAATATCACCAATCAATTAATAACTTGACTGTAATTAAATGCTAGTATACAATTATTGTGCATCAATAAAGTTCGGAGCACTGTTGATGAATTAATTATTAATCGATAGTATCTCAATTAATAGCCAATGGATTTATAGCTATGAGTAGGAATTACTATTATCAATTGCTCTGCGTAACTGCTGACAAAATGAACAAGCTATATGTCACTTAACTGCACCGCTTGTATTTATTTATATTTATTAAATCACAACCCAGCAAGAGTTCAAGCAGCAGCGCTCAGCTACATATTAGCACCTGGCTCCAAGGAACAATCCCATACACAAAGCAACCCCAACTGCAGTCAGACAGAATTAGAAGATAATTGCCTACAATAAAAGTTGCCCCTTTTAAATGCTTGGCAAATCTAGGCACAAAGCATTGCCAAGTAATCAAACAGAATTGAAAATAACTGCTTACGAGGAGATGCTCAGAAGCTGCAGCCAAATTAAGAGAAAAGGAAATCAATAAGATTCCAGGCCCACACCAGCGGCCCTCTGAAAAGGAGGGGTGAGGTTGCTCTTAAGGGGAATATCTCACTGCTGGGAAACTTCCAAACAAAGGAAACTTTGCCAAACAAAGAAAAGTAAATCTTTGCCCACAAGGTCGGCTCAATACCAGTTGATTGAAATAAGGGTGCTTAAACAGACAAAAGACTGCAATTGGTCAAACTGCTGGTTAGTTAAACTGACAATGCAACTAGAGCTGCTGAACTGCCAGGTGCTTAAAGACAATGCCTCACAAACTGCCGGTCACTCAGAGAGCAATCAAGCTCTCAAGCCAGCAGTTGAAAAACCTGTCTGGTAACTGTGATGACTCAGGCAAGAAGTAAAGGGAACTCCAAAGACCAATGTATCTCCTGAAAGGGTGGGGGGGTGGAGGGAGGGAGGACGGGTGGGGGAGGAGAAGGAAAGCGTGGGGGAGTTGGGAGGGAGGAGGGGTGGGGAGTAAAATGAACATGCTGGGCAAGGAAGTTTTTGAAGAAAAGGAAAATAGCTGTCCTTTACAGTGAGCCAAAATGAAGTGGAAATATAAACCGTGGGTTAACCTGGACTTTTCAGTAAGGTACTATAAGCCAAAACCTTTTTGTTGTTGTTGTTTAAAAGTGGTTTTCTTTAGGGAGCCTGTACTGGCAAGTGAAGCCAATGACAAGAACCAGGCAAAGGCACACCTTCAAAGGTTCTAAACGTATAAACGTGCAGTGCTGAGGAATGGTTCCCTGATCAGAAACCCTGAATTGTCCACCCCAAGCCCTGCCTTATTTCTTCCCCCAAACATCAAGCGAAGGGGGGGGGGTTGGCTTAGAGAAACCAAGAGGGGTGAGGTTTAAGCGCACAGTCTATTCCAAGCCCCGGCAGCCTTTAAAATTTTACAGGGGGCTCCCGATTTAAGTGGTACCAATGGAAGGGATTGCAGGGTAAATTAAACCCACGCTAGAAGAGTAATAAATCAATAAACGGCAGGCACAATAAACAGCAGGCACAAACACACAAATCAATAAACGGCAGGCACAAACACACGCTGCAAGCACACACACACACACACACGACTTAAATTAGAGAGGAACAGGAAAAGGAACCCTGAGGATCATCTAGTCCAACCCAAGCAATGCAGAAATATTCAGCTGTCCCATACAGGGATCGAACTGGCAACCTTGGCATTATCAGCACCATGCTATAACCAACTGAGCTATCCAGGCTCTCAAGGAGAATGGAGGGGGGAAAACGCAGCAGCACCCTGGCCAACAAATTAAAATGTAAGGCAAACCCACTCAGTCACCCAGACCAGCCATGCAATTGGACAGGCAAGGGCAATAGAGGGGAAAACGTACAAGCACCCTGGCCAAAAATTAAATAAAAACGCACACCACCAAGGCAGAGGCAGGGGAAGGAAAGCGAGGAGACGAGGGAGAAAGAAAGACAGACAGAGCCACACTCACACTCAGACCTCGCTAGGGGCACTTGCTGGGCAAGGGAACAAGCTGCAGCTTAAGAAAGGTAATTCGCACTCAGACCGCACAAACAAATCAAGCACCAGGAGTGGGGGGAAATAGAAGGTTAAATGTAGGTTTTACACGGAAAAGAGGACACAGCAAGGCAAACCTGGGTGCCTGGGTTTTTAAAAGCAGTAAAGCAATGAGTGCACGCAAGCCTCCTAAAGTTAAAAGGCAAGCCAGGAACCAGGCAGCCTCCACACACACAGACCCCCCCCCG